CCCATTACATCTACTTTTACCCACTTTGGATGGGAGTTTTTCCAAAGTATATTAAATGATCCCTTACCTTCTTAAATAGCATAACCTGTTCTGGCTGACATCTCATGGTCGTTGTCGTTGCTTAGGTATTCAGTCGTATCTGACCCCATGTGACCTTATGGACAAGTCAATGGGGTTTTCTTGCCAAAGATACTGGAGTGGCTTGCCATTTCCTTTTCCCAGGGTTTCCCCATTTTACAGATCAGGAACTGAGGCAAATAGGGATTAAATGACTTGTCCAGGGTCACACAGCTAGTGAGTATCTAAGGCCATATTTGAATTCATATCTTCCTGACTCCAAATCTGGTGCTCTATCTGCTACACTGTCTAGCTGCCCCACAATTGTATAATGCCATAAAATAGATACTACTTGACGGTAAGACACCATAAAATACGCACAGCCTTGCAGGCTATCAAGGCACATAGAGCTTCCCTATGCTAAATAGCCCAAGACTGCTCTGCTATTTGAATTCTTCTGTCTGTTTTACATAAACTTTGGTCACTTCCTTCATTGACAGGCTGCTCCTTTTCATTCCTTGCTTTGGTCAGCATGCGTGCATCTTAGAAACCTCTTATATTCCATCTTTCTTTCTGATTGTTCATTTCCTTTCTGAGTGCTGAGAAACTTGGCCATTGAGTAAGTTAGAATCATGTATAAATTATGAGTCAACAAGTATAAAGTTAAAGTACCTAAGCTTTAACCCATAAATTTAATGTCATTTATTTTGGAAGCTCAGATACCCTTTTCCTTCCTTTGGTGTTCCATACTCTTAGATAGTTATAGCTGTCACATGAGTGACTACTCCACCAGTTTCTTCCCCTATCCCCAGCCCCCCAGTTAGTGAAGTGTTATTGTAACCAGTAGTTAAGTAAGGGCTAGGGAACAATGGTATCATAGATTCTAATAGAATGTTTATGAAACTCTTCCTGTGTGCCAGGCACTGTGTTAAGTGTTCAGGATACAAATACAAGGAAGCAAGATAGTTCCTGCCCTTAGGGAGCTTACATTCTAACATGGGAAGACAGCACATAAAGTGGACCTGGAAAGCTACAGGGTACCTGAGTGGCAGCATGGAGTGGCAGATGACCAGGAAGTAGTGGGCAGGGCCTGGTTTGGGACAAGATAAAGCAGAAATTCAGTTCTCAGAGCCCATCTTTCCGGGGCCATAGTACAAGCATCCCAAGAGAAGACAAGGATGATGGCTGGAGTGTTGGCAACATGACGTAAAGATTGGGGCAAGGTAAGAAGAAGGCTCACCTAGTAGAGCCCAGCTTTCCAGGGACAGAGTCCATTTGGACAGAAAGGGACCATAAAAGTAATGTAATCCAACATTTTCATTTTATATACAAGAATATAGACACAGGGAAGTTGTTAAGACATTTGCCCAAGGTCAACAGAGAGTAAATGGTAGAGCTGAGATTTGAATACACTTCCTTATACTCTCAACTCAGCATATTCTTTCCATTGTGCTAGGCTGGGGAGGAGGGGCAGGAATAGGGTAGGGATGTAGGGGTGGAAACCTTCTCCAAAGTTACTGTTATTGGATAGTCTATTCAAAATCATTAAGCACTGCACAGAAAGAGTTAATAAAACTGTTACTGTCCCTAAAGGAAACAGATCAGGAAAGAGACTTCATTGCCCTTGAATTCAGTATGAAAACATTGGTTCATGAAAGCAAACCATGGTGAGTTATGGAAACCTGGACTCATCATAGCTGATGTACCCAGCATGCTCAGGATTTTTTTTTTCAATTTAAGCATTTGACCTACAGAGCCTGGAATGTGCTTTGGAATTAGCCAACGATGAGGTATACTTTTCATCTGAGGCCCTATTTTCCATTTTCTCTTTCTTTTATTTTGGGGTTGGCTCAGGTTTTTATATTGCCTCACAGGTGTGGGGAGTAGCCACTCAGCAGTACTTATAAAGAATGAAATGGATTTAATAAAATAAAATCCCTTCCCAAGCTCCTGTGGACTCCAAAATTCCTGTTCAGAGGCCCAGGTCAGTGTGCTTAGCTGATCAGAGATTGAATCCAAGGTCATATAATTACACAGACACGGACACAGACACAGACACAGATACACACACACACACACACACACACAGACACACACACACACACACACACCCCTTCTTCTTCATCTATCCTAATCCAAGATTCCTTTCAAATCCTGACTCAAATCCCTCTTCTTCCAAAAAGTCTTCTCAAATTACTACAGCCAACATTGTGTAACACTCCAAAATCTTGGTTGTTCTCTGAACGTTTCCTGTCTCTTAGACTTGTTCTACTGAGTAAGCTTATAAATTCACTGAAGGCAGGACCATAGAATCAGAGGAGTAAAAAAAGCCCTTCAGAGATCCTGGTTTGTTGAGGGCTGTCCCCTAGAGGGCTTCTCAAAGTCATCCCTCTAGTGACTGATCCATATCCCACCTATTTTCATTCAATTCAATTCACTTCAGCATGAGAAATGTTTCTGAAGTGTCTATCGAGTGTAGAAAAACCATGCTGGGATCTGGGGGAGATAAGAGAGTTAAGATGAGTTATGGTTCCTGCTCTTACACTCTAGTGGTCAGTAGGGGGGATGGGATATGATAACACTCCAAAAAACATTGGTTTTGGTCCAGAAATGTTATTTCATTACCATAAGGAACTGCTGGTATAAAAACTCCCTCCAATGGTGCACCATCAGCTACTGATCTGCAATTTATGATCTGATGGGGATTTTTTTTTTTTGGTGGGGGTGGAAGACAGGGCCGAAAGAGGTTGTAGGACTATAGAATCATAGGACTGGACTGGAAGGTACTTTAGAGGCTGAGGAAATTGAAGCCCAGAGAACTTGATGTGACTTGTCCAACATCACAAGACTAGTAAGTATTTGAGGTGGGATTTGATTCCAGGTCTTCTGAATTCTAAGACCAACTCTACCCATTATACCACACTGCCTCTCTGGGCCCACTTAGCTCGAGGTCACATAGGTAGTATGTGCCAAAGGTAGAATTTGAACCCAGGTCACCCTGATACCAAGACCAGTCCTCTAGCCACAATAACAAGCTGTCTTTAAATGTTTTAGAGGATTGTAAACAGAATACCTTGTGAAGTCTGAGGATAGAAAGAGATCATCACCAGTGGGGGGAAATCAGGGAAGACTTCAAAGAGGCTGTGGCATTTGAGATGAGAATTGAAGTATGGGTAGGAATTCAAAAGAGCATCAGAAAAGAATATTACAGGCAGAGAGAACAGTATGGGCTGAAATGGAGAAGCATGGGATGCACATGGCAAGGATGGTTAGTATTCTGTTCTCACTGGAACATAAATTACATGGAGGTGAATAGAATAAGCTAGGGCTGTAAAACAATGGTGGCCCTAGATTTTGGGAGACATCGAATGCTGGGCTAAGGAGCTTCAATTCTGGTCCATAGGCAGTAGGGAGCCATATAAGGTTTTTGAGCAAGAGAATGATATGAACACATCAATGCTTAAGAAAGAGTTATCTAGCAATGGCATGAAAGAGAAAGTATCATGAAAGGCATAACTAGGGATTTGCTCACTAAATCCTGGAATTTTAGAATGAAGGATTGCCCTTATAAGCTTAAAAGAGAAATTTAGAGGAAAAAAAATGTAATTTCTATTTTATAGCACTGAGAACTCTTAGAATGTTTGTGTAGCAGAATTGAATTGGAGTATAGGCCATGGTGGGGCAGCTAGGTAGCACATGGATAGATCTCTAGGCCTAGAGTCAGGAAGACTCATCTTCATGAGTTCACATCTAGCCTCAGACACTTACTAGCTGTGTGACCTTGAGCAAGTCACTTAACCCTGTTTGCCTTAGTTTCCTTATCTGCAAAATGAGCGGGAGAAGGAAACGGCAAACTACTCCAGTATCTTTGCCAAGAAGACCCCAAATGGGGTCGCGGAGACTAAAATGACTTAACAACAACCGACCATGGAGGACTGAATATTTGTGCTGGGCACTTTTAGGGACTCTAGGGTCATTTGTGATTCAACATTAAAGCCCCTCATGCTTTGAGATAATAAAGCAATCTAAACAGATATCTGATCTGTATTGTCCATTGAGTACCTCTCTATTCTCCCCTTTGGGGAGACCTTAGACCCTGTCTAAAATTTAAGCTTCTTTTTTTTTTGGACATATGTATATGTCCAAAATCTAAGCTTTAAGCAATTTTCTTTGGGGCTCTAGGACAGGGGTGTAAAGACCCAGAGAGCCAAGAGCCTAATCCACCTTATTAGAGGTCAGGCTCTTCCAGGACAGAACTTGATCACCATGAATGAGGGTTTGGGAGGTGGGGAGCCTCATAGATAGTGAAAGGGTGTAGCACCTTTGTCCCAGCAGTGAGTTATTATTGTTCCCTCCAAATCACAGAATTTCCAAATTGGAAGGGACCTAGGAGTCTCAACTGTCCAAATTCCCTTCCCAGTATAGAAATCCCCTCTCTACATTATCTCAGATAGATGATAAGCCAACCTTTGATTGACCCCTTCCAGGGAGGGAGGTCTCAATCATTTTCAAAGGCAGTATATTCCATTGCTGAACAGTCCTAAGTGAATGAAAGTTCTTCCATATGTTCAGCTAATAGCATCTCTTTGTAACCTCTTTCTCCTCCTCGCTGTTGCTGGTCTTGCTCTCTGGAGCAACAGAAAATGGAAGTCTATTCTAGACACAGAGCACTGGACTTGGAACCAGGAAGATCTGAGTTCATATCCTACCTTAAAATCGTACTAGCTGTGGTGACTCTGGGCGAGGCATTAGCTGCTCTCAGCCTCAGTTTTCTCATCTATAAAATGGGGAAAATAATAGCACCTTCCTCCCATGATTGTGAGAACCAAAGAAGATAACATAGATAGAACATTTTGCAAACCTTACAACATTCTAGCTATTATTATTATTAGTCATTACACCAAAGAAGTGGTGAGACTGAGAAGAGAGAAACTAGGCAACACTGTTCTCACACAAATCACCCTTTGTTACCCACATCAGAGATAGGATTTAAGGGACAATTCTGATCTTTTCATGACCATTTTTTTTTTAACCATACTTGACAATTCAGAGCCAGCCAAAGGAAACTTGTCGCTACCAGGTGACTTGGGAAAACAGTCTGTGGGTCCCCTGGGGTAGTGTAAGGGGGAGAATTTACCCACTGGCACCTTCACAGCTGCTGAAGCAGGTGCCCTGGTGAAGGTTAGGTTAAAACTGCCCTGAGGGGCTCATTCTGGGGCCAAAAGGGAGTGTCTGGAAGATTGTACAGCCCTCTGGAGGGTGCAGAGAGCTGGGAATGTGGTTGCTGGAGGCAAGCCCTGTGCTACTTTGTGGAGGGTGGAATGGAATAGATCTTCCCTCCCTCCCTCGGACTGGTTGGTCACACCCTCTTTAGGGTCATCCCACAGCTCTCCAGTTGGCCAGGACCCCACTTTGGAGACCGCCGGGCTAGTAGAAAGAGCAGAGTTTGGAGGCAGACGACCTGGTCTTGAATTCCAAGTCTTCTGCTACTGAGCACCCGTGACCTTGGGCATGTCATTTAAACTCTGGCATTCATTTTCTTCATCTGTAAAAAATGAAGGGCTTAGATTAGATGCTATCCAAGGTCCCCCCAGCTCTTAATCCCCATGATCCTATAATCCATTAGGTCTTTGTGTGTAAAACAAGCCCCACTCTCATGGTTTTATTATCAGGGTTCTTGGGTCATTCCATGACCTTTGGGAAAGGGAAGAGGTCTCTGCAGTCCTTGACTACTACTACACCACAGAGCGTAGAGCCCTTTAGAAGGCAAAGACAGCCCATTAGACTTCTGTCTTTCTCCCACTATTATCAAACATTTTAGAGGGCAATTTAAAAAATTCCAAACTTAGTAACCACTAACTAGAAAACACGTTTTACCTTTCTCTGTCTTCCCAGCATTTAGCACAATGCCTGGCACACAGTAGGCTCTAAATAAAAGCTCAACTTTTACTGAATATGCTGAAATACTGAAAAAAAAATGAAACAAAATTTAAAATGACTTCATACTTAAAGCTAAAAGTCCAAATTATTTACAATTTATTTTTTAATGTACACATTAACTTTAATAGAACAGTAATAAGGCTAGTTTGGATTTTATGTGTTCTATGTATTTTTTTTTCAGTTTTCTAATTGCCATAATAATTTTTTTTAGTACTCGGTGTTAAGTATCGTTCTGCTTTCTTCATCTCAGTATATTACCCCATCTTTCCATTTACCTTTGTATTTTTCACATTTGTCTTTTCTCATGGTGCAATAACATTTCATTATGTTGATATCCCATTATGCTATTATAGAAACAGATTGACTTGGAGTCAGGAAACCAAAATCACATCTTCTTTGCACAGTCAGCCTTTCCCAATTGGTGATTGTATGGAATGCTTCCAGTTTTTGGTTCTTACAAATAGAATGGCTATACATATTTTTGGACAAGCGGATTCCATCGCTCCTACTAACCTCTTTACAAGTGGGATCACTGGGTCAAACAAAGAGCATGCAAGCATTTATTAAGCATCTGTCACGTGGTCTGTGGTAGGTGGTAGGGATCCAAAGACAAAATGTAAAAACAACCTTTTCTCCCATGAAGCTTGCACCCCACTAGGGCAGACAACATGTAAACAGATAAGTAAACATGAGAAATTTTGAAAAGGATGAGACCACTAATAGGTAGGGGGGATCAGGAAAGGCTTCCTGTAGCAAGATGTACCTGAGCTGAGCATGGAAGGAAGCTAAGGATTTTGGGGGTCAGATACACTCCAGGCATGGGGCCTTTGCCTAGGCAGAGGTGGGAGAGGGCATGAAGAATTAGAGGAACAACAAGGAAAGTAATATAAAATAAATTTGGAAAAGTAGGCTGGATGAGGCCGCTGGGGGGGCAGTGCATAGAGCACCAGCCCTGGAGTCAGGAAGACCTGAGCTCAAATAAAGCCTCAGACACATGATACTCACTAGCTGTGTGACCCTGAGCAAGTCACTTCACCCTGTTTGCCTCCGTTTCCTCATCTGTAAAATGAGCTGGAGAAGGAAATGGCAAACTACTCCAGTATCTTTGCCAAGGAAAACCCCAAATGGGGTCATGAAGAGTTGGACATGACTGAAATAACTGAACACCAAGTCTTCAGCCTCCCACTCTAGGGCTAGTCCCACCAGATAGCACTACCTGGCATCTTCATGCAACCCAATACCTTTTTTTTTCTGAAACTCTCATTAGTCACCCCAATCCTCAGCACAGTCATAAAAAATAGATTATAAGAAGTTCTTTATCAAAAGGTACCTGTTCTTCTCTCCTTTTTTCCCTTCTCAAACACAGTAAAGAAACCCAGTTTCCTAGTCTTTGATGCCAGCCTAATCATTTCTCCGCTCCTCTGCCAGAGGCAGTACAGCGGATATAGCTCGCTAGGTCTGGGGTCAAGAAGACTTCATTTCAAATGTGACCTCAGAACTTCGTGACCCTGGGCAGGTCACTTAACTTCTCTGTTCTTCAGTTTTCCCAACTGTAAAATGGGCTTAATAGCAGCACTTACCTTGAAGGGTTGTTGTGAGGCCCAAAGGGGATGCTGTTTGTAAAAAGTGCTTAGCACAGCACCTGGCACTTAGTAGGTGCTGCAGAAATGCTTCTTCCCTTCTCCAGCCTCAACCCAGCTGGTTGGCTCTGATAACACAGTCCATGGCAGATTTAAAACAAGACAAAACAAAAGAAAAAACCAAAGCCCTTCCCTGCTTTATCTTTTCTCTGAAGCACAAACAAACAAGGAGGCTAGATACACAAACTCTTCTCCCCGCACTTCTGTGGCCAGCCTGGCTCCTCAAACGATTTGTTTAGGGGGACCTTTTGATTACTGTACATGGCAGAGATCTGCTCCCAGGCTCCCATAACACTCTGCTCTTCAGGTTTTCCAAAGACTGAAGAGCGTGTGTTCCAACAGAGCAAACACACCCAACATGCAAAGCAGGCAGGCTCACTTGTTGGCACACTCTCCAGTTTGTGGCCCTTTCCTCCGGCCTAACATTTCATGCAGGTGACACCTGGTTAGAATGAACAGCAAGGGCAGCCCTGACCAGTGGACTACAGAGCAGAAGCATCCAGAACAGAAGGAGGTGGAGGTGCCACTAAGACAGGAAGCAGCCAAAGAGGAAACATGACAAGAGTCGCAGTTTCCACCAAGAGTCACCCCGTGGTGGCATGGGAAAAGTCTGGCTTGGGAGTCAGGAGAGATTGAGAGATTTAGATTCAAATCCTACTTAGTTGACTAGTTTTGTGAATCATTTAACTTCTCCAAGGCTGTTTCCTCACCTGTAAATTGAGAGGATTGGACTCAGTGACCTCTAAAATCCCTTCCAGGTCTAAATCTGCAGTTGTATGTAACTTCTCATGGGGCAGTCAGATGGCCCAGTGGATAGAGCGCTGGGCCTGGAGTCGGGAAGACCTGAGTTCAAATCTGGTCTCAGATACTTGCTATGTGACCCTGGTCAAGTCACTTAACCCTGTTTGCTTCAGTTTCTTCATCTGTCAAACCGCTCCAGTATCTTTGCCAAGAAAACCCAAACAGGGTCAAGAAGAGTCAAACATGACTGAGACGACTGAACGACAAGAACAACATGTAACTTCTCACTTGATTACAGTGGTAGGAGAAGCCACCATAAGAAAAAGAGAAGAGGCAGAAGACTTTTTACTAAAAGACAGGGTAAACTTAAGAGTTTTTCTTCATTTCAGCTCTAATAACTGCAGCTTGAACTTGGCTAGCACAGCTCCTTGTATGTAGAAGAAGTGTACTGTTTATACACACCTACACACACACACACACACACACACACACACACTCTCTCTCTCTATATATATATATAGATGTGTACATTATATATATGCATATGTAATATACGCATATATACAAATCCATGTGAGATGTCTATTTTTTTCCATTCTTTTGTTCTGCTTGACTGATTCTTGCTCTCTCATAGAGTCATTAGCTTCCACTTGCCCCATTCTAATTTTTAACTAATTGTTTTCTTCTATTAGATTTTGTACCTCCTTTTCCATTTGGCCCATTTTACTTTTTAAGGAGTTCTTCTCTTCAGTGAGTTTTTGTGCCTCCTTTTCCATTTGGCCAATTCGACTTTTTAAGGACTTGTTTTCTACAGTTAATTTTTGTCCTTCCTTTTCCAAGCTATTGACTCTCTCTTGTATACCTCTCATTTCTTTTCCCAATTTTTTCTTCTACTTCTCTTATTTGACTTTTAAAATCCTTCTTGAATTCTTCCAAGAAGGCATTATGGGCTTGAGACCAGTTTATATTTCCCTTCAAAGTTTCAGATGTAGGTATATAGACAATATGCCTTGATCTTCCCTTTCCCCAAAATAAGAATCTATGGTCATTTTCCATTTCTGCTTTTTGTTCATTGGTGTTTGCCTATTTCCTGACTTAAAAAAAAAAAAAAAAGTTGAGCTCTCCTCTGGAGCAAAGGGGGCACTTACCCACAAGGTTTTTTCCCTGCTCACCTGAGCCTTGCACTTGAATGTTTGACTCCTGCTTGCCCGGAGCCTTGCACAAGAATGTTTTGCTGCTGATGGATGTCTGTCAGCCAGGAGCTTTGCCTTCTGGAGTTATGCTTCCCAGAGTTGTGTTGAGGGACCGGGTGATTTCACTTCTGGAGAACGCTGTCACCTGTGGTGATTTTCTGAGCTGGTGTCTACTGGTTCCCCTGCCTGTATCGAGGCTTTTGGTGTGTGTGTGTGGCAGAGAGTGCCCTGGTGTTGGCACTTGCCTTTTCCACCAACCTGGGTCTCAGGATCTCCACTTGGTATGCTGAGGTGGAGTTTGCTGCTGGCTTGCTGAGATGCCTCCAGTGCTGTACTGCTCCCTCTCCTCCAGAGCTAGAGGGGCCTTTTCCGTTAATCCCTCAAGCTTCCTGGGCTACAAGATTGCCGTGCCCTGTCTTTCTGCTGGCTCAAGGTTTTTCCTGGGTCGATACCTTCTGGGCTTTCAGAGGTTAATGAGGGACGGTAAGAGGAACTAATTTCTTACATCTTGGTTATCTTTCCAGTCCATGTGAGATGTCTAAACGTGGAGACGACAGGTGTCTTGAAGGGAGGTGTGGTTATATGATCTTAGGACTGGACCACCACCCCACTCCACACCCCCATCTCCTGTGATTCCTGTCTTGAGGGTAGCAGGAGATGGGGTCATGAAACTGTTTTGTTCTCCAGTGTCCTAGAGAGGGGAACTAGACTATCTGTCCCTCCCCCAATACTGCTGATCTAGAGGCTCAGAACAAAGCCTCTTTTCTGGCTAGCACCTCTTCAAAGAAGGAGGGTTGCTAAAAGTTCATAAATACTGGCTTGGTCCCTCTCCACCAAATGCTAGTTACGTAAAAGACAATCACATACAGTGAATAGTAAATAAATCTCTTTATCTGAACAGCAAACAGAACTCCAAGTTTTACAGATTAACATGTAGCAGAAAATACACAAGAATAAACGTGCTCTTTAGAAGGGAGCAAGATGAGATCACAGTTCCATCAAGAGAGAGGCCCTGACTTCACCCTAGATTTGGAAAGTCCCTGGTCTCCTAAGGAGGCAAGCTTGAAATCAGCACATGTTTGCAGTTTCCAAAGTCTGTCTGTTTGTCCCTTTACACATCTGAAGGCGGTCCCCAAGAGACTGTGGTATCCCATGTGTCCTCTCTCTCTAGGAGATGAAGAATCTCTCCTCTCTCTCAAAGGCCTCACATCAACTACACCTTCTCTCCCAACGCCAGGCATGCAACACTGTGTCAGCATTCTCTCCACCATTAGGGAGAGTCCAATGCAAAATGCACCAAGCTTGGCTAGAACCTGGGTTACATCTGCAACCTTTGCTCAGTCAAAGAGTGACCAGCTGACCTCTTTTATCTGTTACAACAATGTAGAGACCTACCCGACCCTCTAGGCTGCTTATCTAAGGACATTCTGAGTAAAGAAATGATGTCCTAATTGGCCAATTGAAGCTTCCACCCGGATTGAGCTAATGATGCCCGAAGGTTCCTGTAACCTCTTTGCAGAGTCTTTCCTAGGGCTTCCTCTGCTTTTAGGAACACAGGCTTATCATCTTCAGTAAATTATTTTTATTTCCACATTACAGTTCTCAGTGGCCTAGTGCTCCCAAGATTTGAACCCATTTCCTCCTTGGATCTCTCTGTCTCTCTGTCCCAGCTTACCTACCTCCCTCTCTCCCCACCTCCCTCCCTCTCCCATACTCTCTCTCTCTCTCTCTTTCTCTCTCACACACACACACACATACACACACACACACACATACAAAGACAGGCTCAAAACTAAGTTAGAGGCGAAAGGAATTATCCTTCTTTAGTTCAAAGTTCATTCTCACAGAATTAAGAAAGAATGTTGAACATTCTTAGGATAAAGGGTGCTTCATGTAACTGATAGGAACTTGTTGATACATGTCTCCTCCTCGCAATGTCCCAGAGGATATAAATCATCTAGCATCATTTCACCAGATGTTGGTATCAACAAAAGTAGCACTGGTTTGGGTAATTATTTCTGTGAGAGAGTTTTTGAGATGTTCAAGAGATTGGGGGTTAAGGTTTCAAGAAAAGGAGCTTGACATAGTAAAAAGAGCATTGGATTTGATTTCAGAAGATTTGCCGGTACCACTAACTTGGGTAATTTTGAATGAATCACTTATTTGAAGATATAAAAGCGCCTCAATCCTTGCTGTAGAGAGGTGGGGAACTATGAGCGTATAATGTTGCAAACCCAGTGAAACTGTAGTAGCTGGTTTTGCTGTGTCTGTTATCAGGATTCACGGTGTGTGTGTGTGTGTGTGTGTGTGTGTGTGTGTATGTGTGTGGGTGTGGGTAGGTTTATATATTCAAAAATGACTGGTGTAAAAACAAAAAGAAACAATAAAATATTTCTTATTGAAGTCATCACCCTTCCCTGGACCTCCATTTTCTCATTTGTAAAATAAAGGAATTGGATTAGATTCCCTTTAATGACTCCTGCTCTAGGATGCCTTTACTACCCCTCTTAACAATAACAGTTGATATTTGTATGGAGCTTTATTTGTATGAATTTATAAATCACTTTTCCTTTTAAATCTCAGTTGATCCTCTCCACAAACTTGTAAGCACATTATCCTCATTTTGTAGATGAGAAAACAAAATCTCAGAGGAGTTAACTGATTTGCCCAAGTCAGCCACACAGCTGGTAGGTATTAGAGGCAGGCTTCAAACCCAGATCTCATCTGACATCAAGGTCCAGTACTCTTTTTACCAGCTATCTATATCTATATCCATAGCTTCTATCTATATCTTTATCTATATCTGGGGCAATTAGGTGGCACAGTGGATAGAGTGCTGGGCCTGGAGTCAGGAAGATTCATCTTCTCTAGTTCAAATCTGGCCTCAAACACTTGCTAGTTGCGTGACCCTGGGCAAGTCACTTGTTTGCCTTGGTTTCTTCCTCTATAAAATGAGCTGGAGAAGGAAATGGCAAACCAGTCTAGTATCTTTGCCAAGAAAACCCCACGGACAGTACTGGAATGCTATGGTCCACAGAGGCATGCACGACTAAACAAAGATATTATTTCATTTTATTTTCACAACATTGGGAGGTAGAACTATTATTATCTTTGTTTTTACAGTTGAGGAAACTGAGGTAGACAGAGGTTAAATGACTTGTCTAGGCTTACGAAACTGGGAAGTGTCTGAGGCTGTATTTGAACTTGGGTCTTCTTAACTTCAGCTCTAGGGCTCTCTCTACTACCTAGCTACCCAGAAAGAAAGGCTGGTAACTTAGAATGTAGAATGTTTCAGTTTTCAGGTACCCTAGAGATCATTCAGCCCAACTTCTCCATTTGACAGATGAGGAAACTGAGTCTCAAGGACATGAAATGACCCACCTAGTCACCACCCTAATTATTGATGAGATTAGAACTTAGTTCTATCCACTCAACCATCCAAGTTTTCCAAATTCAGCATCATGAGTCAAAAACTTGTTTATGCAGCCAGAACCAAAAGCAAATAATAAGACTTCTCAGGAGCTCAGTTGAGTTCTACTATGCAGGCCAATGTAACTCTTCTTACATTCTTGGAAGTCTGTTCTTGGTTTTTTTAGGCCACAAATAGGATTGTTTGGTCCAAGGACAGCTCAGGTGACTCTAGTAATGGAATGGAGAAGTTGCCTCCTGCATTAAACTGTTTGTAAATGTCGGAATCTCCCAATATTATTTTTTTTTAAGTTCAAGGAGAGAGAGAATTCTTCTTTGAAAAGGGAACATGACAGTGGGTTATTTTAAGTGGTTCAGTCCTGGCTCCTGATATTTGTCTCCTGGCAGATATAAAGGCAATGATTGCTCATTCTTCCCTCCTGACCCAATAACCAGAAAGAGATGAAAATGGCAAAAAAAAGTTATTTCTAGGAAATATTAAACATTCATCACCCAATGGCTACAGAGCAATAAAATCACTTGCTCACACACCAAATTATTTATAAGAAATCAAGTTACAACCTATTTATAGGGATGTGTGCATGTTATAATAAAGAATGAAGAAATTTTTTTCACTTCTATCGGGGAAACACTAAAAACTCATGAATCACCCCTAATATATAATTTCCTACATTAAGGTGGGGTTCTTGAACTTTGAATGACCAGGTCCTATCATTGGGAGTAATTGGCCTTCAAGGTCTAGATCAATGATCTCCTACAATCTCCTATACTAAGGGGAAGGCAGAAAATTATCCCTTGTGATTTAGAAACCCAAGCATGGAATAGGAAGGTAAGTAAAAGGGTTATTGTGTAGGGATAGGAGGTGGACTAGAAGATGATCTCTTAATAGTTCCTTCAAGTCTCAGGTTCTATTATTATATCATTTCAAGTGACACTGAGAGCACCTGCGACACTGTGGTACAGTGGAAAGAACTCCGCATATGGAGTCAGAAGCCCTAACTTCTAGTCTCTACACCTGCCATGCATTAGCTGCATGACTTTGGTCAAACTTCACCCTTCTGAGCCTCAGTTTCCTCATCTATAAAATGGGAATAATAACATTTTTATTTTACTCATCCTCATAGGGATTTTGTGGAAAAGGTGATACCTAAACATGAGCTACTCTCATGTCAATGTGATAGGGTTAAATTGAAATAGTGTAAACTTTTATTCATTGACTCAGTCAATCAGCAAGTATTTATTAAGGGCTTACTATGTGCCAATCACTGTGCTAAAATCTGGAGATGAAAACGAAGACAAAAAACACAATCCCTTAATAATAGAATATAAGGTCAAAGAACTTATATCCTAATGAAAATATGAGGATGAACATAACTTGATACATACAAGATCTACACATAATAGATGGAATGTGATCTCAGAGGGGAAGACACTTGCAGCTGGGGAGAGTGACAAAGGCCTGCAGATGGGGGGATTTGCGTTAAGTCCTAAAAGCAAGGAAACTAAGATGTAAAAATGAGAAGAGAGGGTATTCCAGGCATGGGACACAGCCATTGCAAAGGCATGGAGATAGGAGATGAGATATTCTCAGTGAGAAATAGCAAGTAATCCAATGTGGCTAGATTGTA